TATATATACAAGGCGAAAAATATCTTCAACGTTGCTAGTAAGATATGACCTAAATTAAGGACAAATGGACTACGTTTTCCTAGGAGCAAGTCGCGTAGCAAAAATCCACTCAACTCAAAAGCTAAAAGAGCTCGCAAACACTACAACTGTGAGATACACAGGAACATTTCAGGTTTCAAATCCCAAAATATAAGAATGAAACATCGCTATCAAAGGCAGCCAGCTGATATATCTCGTAAACTTAGAAGAGAAATTTTTCACATTGTCATGGAAACCCATCTTTAATCTCCTTTTGTCCTCCCAGATAAATTTTAGGAGTACTGAATAACTCCAAATTAAATCTGATCGCAGCATTTGTGCTTGTACTATAAAGTCCCACTTCAGCCTTCTCAAAAACATTGATAAATTCGAACACATGATTCACAAGGATACCACACAAGATCAAGTCTTAAAAACTAGACGTACCTGCAACAACTTACCTAAGGCTCTCCATACTCCTATCGATATATTAATTTATTTTTTACAGTTTAAGTTTTTTTGTGTACTCATATTTAACTTGGGAAAAGATATAGAGAGTTTGAAAATACTCACGAAGATACGCTGTCCTCTGGTCGTCCGTCAAATTAGACGGTAATATTGTTGGCATACCCGGTACAAAGCTCTTTGTCACTGACCAGCGAGACTTCCTCTCGCGTTTTCTTCCTGTATCTGCTAATGCATTCTCATGACCTGGGAGGGAATCCGTGCCGGCTAGTGCTAAGAAAATTTTCTATACATAATATATTTTGAAGAAAACAAATCAGTGACTGACCAAACTCCGGTCTCATGAGCGGATTTATCACCGGTTCCTTCATTACAGGATGTGGTGGGACGGTCGGGGCAGTGGACGGGGATGACCTATCTCGTGAACGATCACGCGAACGATCCTTGCTTCTGCTCCTTGATCGCTTTCTGTCTCTAGACCTGCTGCGTCTTCTGGAGCGGCTGCGATGTCTTCGGTGGCGATCGCGGTCTCCAGATCGTGACCGTCGTCGGCGTTCCCGACGTTCTCTGCGATCACGTGAACGGCTGCGATCACGATGTGAATGGGAAGATGTGTCATGATCGGATGTTGGAGCTGGAACTGAATAGAGTTAAGTAGAAAAGTTTGCTTGACAAAGTATTACATTTGTACAAGAGCACGCTACGCCCTGCAAACCAAGGCAGATGCAAAAGCGCGTGCTGAACCAAATTTACACTTGTTAGAGCTTGTATACCATGCTAACTGCATGACCAGTGAAGATGTGTGTCTTCGCAACCAACAATTTGACGAAAAGTGACGCACCTTCACTTGGTGGGGGTGGAGGACCATTCATCACAGCACCATCTTCCGAAGAGTTAGCAGCAGCAGCTGCTGCCGCCCCCCATTTTCGGACGAAAGGCATCGGTTCAGTGTTGCCTCCTGTTTTACTCCCCATACTGAAAGTAAAAATTGAAGTGACACCGTAATAAGATGTAACACCAAGACGGAAGTGTCAATTCAACAAATATTTACGGTAAAACAACCTTAAAATAGAAAAAAAAGACCAAAAGTTGAGATCCATTCATTCATATAATATTATTTAATTAACAATGATATCAAAACTCAACAAAAAACAAAAAGCGAATCAAAAGTATGTACACAACTCAAAACAGACCACGAGCGGTTCAAACAAAACTGTGCAAAACTATTCAAGCAATGATTTCTTTCTCTTGTGGTTTGTCAACTTCCATCGTATTTTGAGGATCCGAGTTTTCCACATCAGCGTTCGCGGCAACTGGCACCGGCTCTAACTCACCGCATTCCACTATCTTCACGACCATCTGTGGCTTTCCAGATGGTGTTCCCTTAATGATAAAAAAGTAAGTGTAAATCAATACCTATTACCACACTGAAATTTACTGACCTGCTGTTCAACCTGTCGTACCACATTCATTCCTTCAACTACATGGCCAAAAACAACGTGCTTCCCATCTAACCAATCAGTTTTTTCCGTGCAAATGAAAAATTGCGACCCGTTAGTGTTAGGTCCACAGTTGGCCATGGACACTGTACCAGGCATAACATGCTTCAGCTAAAATACTCATAATCAAACATCATGCTACCTTGTGGGATTGCTATGATTTGCAAAATGTAAAAAACAATGTCCAGTAACTAAGCTAAGAAACCTTTCAGGTTTTTTTCTGACCGCAATGCGTGATCGCACTACGGAGCACATCATCACACATAAATCAAGTGTACACTACCGCAATTCGGACAAAAAATGCAAAAAAAAAAGATTTAGGGAAAACAAAGATGATAGTTAGAGTAAAGATTTTACACTTGGATCATATCTGTCCTTTAAGCCCTTCAATTACTTTGATGCAAAGGGATGCTCTTGGTTGACCTACGCCAATCGCTAAGCATAACAAGATATTTACGCTCATGTCCCAAAAGAAAACATCAGAAATAACACACACCTTAAAATTCTCATCTTCGAATTTTGGTCCATATATCGATTTTCCACCAGTTCCGTCACCTTTCGTGAAGTCACCCCCTTGCAGCATGAACTTTGGAATTATTCGATGAAATGACGAGCCTAAAAGTATG